AAAAAAAAAAAAAAAGATAGTATTTCGTTTATATTGCGAACGCGGTCAAAAGCTGATTTGTATGTAACAAGAGGGACTATGTATGTACGTCAAACTACGCATGTTTCAGGAACGGACAGCAAAAATGTTTACACAAAGGCGAAACAAAAGGTATAAAACACTGAGATATCTTATTACGGTAGTAAACAATATATAGTGCTTTAGTGAAATTTAGTAGTCATTTGTAATAAACTGCTACTGCTTTTTAGGCATTACCGTACTTCCTACAGGTCATGTATAAATAGGCACGGTTGGTAAGTGCTACTGTACGTGACTATGTACAATTAGGCACGACCTGTACGAAGTACGGTAGAGCTAGTAGATTCTTTTAAATACGAGCCTGCGTATTGTAACGAGTACCGTAAGTCCTTTGTACATCTTTATTATAACGATCTATAATAGTAAGAGCCGCGTATATATATTTTTATATATATATAAAATAGTAAATGTCTCATTGATCTCATACTAATCATATCTCATGTTACACTAAAGCGTCAAGTTTTCAATTAACTCGAAAACAATACGAATATGGGGTAAAAAGAAATTTATAAGTTTCATCAAACATTACGATATTAAGGGTCGTGCCTAATGTAATAGACAGTTCGATACTATTGCAACCACGTGCGCTCACTAATATATCAAAATTACCCATTTAATTTTAGCCACTCCGACTTGGAAGCAGATGACGAGGAATTCGATTCCTTGAATCAATCTGACAGTGTCAATCAATCGGATCATGGAAATCACGAGCCACAAACCTCTGTGAACACCGTCAATCAGCCAAGACTATCTACCCCAACGGGAGATAATCCACACGAAGTATTTCTTTTCTTTTTTTTTTTATTCGAATATTTCGTTTGAGAAGTAGCATTAAATAATTTGTAAACTCGCACGGTTTCTCTGTTTGAAACTTTTAGTTGATAGAACGAGCGCAAGAAGAGAACAGGAGGTTGCTGTCACTTCTGGAGGATCGGGATCACAAGATAATGGCACTTGAAGCCCGGCTGCTCCAACAGCAGCACGAAATGACCATAGAAAGGGAACGGCTTCGGGAGGAGAATGCCGCGTTAATTCGCGCGATGGCAGCCCTGGCGAGTAATTAACTTTCCTATTCGCGAAACAGTTTGACCTATCAATCCTATGATCGATTTTAGAAAAAGGATCGTGTATCAGCGATTGAGAGCTCTATATATATACATATACATATATACCAATAGTTTGTAAGTAATTGTGAATTTACTT